TCATTTCCAAACCAGACCTTATCAAATAAATATTGTCTTTTTAACATTTATGGTATTTGATCAAATAATCATTAGCCTTTCTAACCTCTTTTCCTCCCTAATTTCTTTTTAACCTTCCCAAAATTAATTAAAGCACACTTGGTATTTTGTTTTAAAATATCCTGATTACGAATACGATCAGCATATTACTCTGGTTCAGAATTAAAGAAGACGTGTGTTGCAATTTGTTCATAATTATATAGTGGTTTTTAAATTAAAATGCAAATACGACAAGGTTCTGGGTGACATAATTTATATACTGGTTTAGACAATGCAAACATATTTTTGGCATAGCTCTAATTCAGTAAGAATTTCCATACCCCCCATGAACATTGACATTAGTCATTTGCACATTTCAAAGCTTGGCATTTTCATAAGGAAGGATCTATAAAAACTATTTACTTTTAAAAGAAAGTGTGAGAATACAAAAAAAAGCACATGCCTAATTATATCATTCTTAAGATCAGTTGAGGAAATTGACAAAAGACCTGGAAACAGTCCTTTTTTAAAAAAAAAAGAAAAGGCACCTTCAAGTCTCGTTGATTTCAAATGGAGCCAAATCAAAACAATCTCATTTCAGTTTCACTTTTATTACTGTCAAAAAGGACCACCCTCTTTGAGTGGCCCATCTATATAAATTTCAGTGGTTGAATTTCTCTTTTTAAAAAATGTACATGTCCTGGACACACACAACATACAATAATTCAAATGTGGTGTAATGATTAGAATGTTAGACTAGGACTTAGGAGAAGAGGACTCAGATCTTTCCTCAACCACGAAGCTCACTAGGTCAGTTTGGACCAGTCAGTCTCTCAGCCCTAAGCTGGAGGAAGAGAACCATATATGCCACCTTGACTTAACTGGGAGGAAAATGGGATATAAATGTGATAAGCAAAAAAAAAAACAATAAACATTAGAACAGTGTGGTCCCACAAGACACAGTTAAGGAAAGACTTTGCAGCCAGGGAGCCGTGCAGTTCCTGAGGTCTGATCATGCTGAGGAATTATCTCTGACAAAATAAGGTCTACAGAATCCTTTAATGTTCTCTCTCTAAACTCGCCCCACCCATTTTACTACAGGAGGTCTGGGGAGTGGGGTCATTGCCAACCAAACAGACCAAGGAAGATGGCTTACAGAGAGTCTGTAAAGAGCTTGCCTAAGGCTTCGCTTAGTTGGAGCTAGGAGTTTTCCCAAACTTTGCCAGAAAACTGAAACATTGCATAGTTCCCTTGCACTCAAAGCCTGTGAGCTTCTTTGCGTGTTGCCCCATAGCCCAGCATGGGACCGCATGGTTAATTTAAACATTAATTTAATTTAAATTTAATTACTGTTAATTTAAACAGTAGGGGCTTTGACATAGTTGTATCTGAGCTGTAGTTTGTGTCCAGGACTCGGGGGAACAACAGAAAAATTCTTTTGATGTTTGTGCCATTTGCTTAGCCATTCAGGAAAAGCTCTCTCACACAGAACATGAAAATTCTAACACGCAAGACAAAACCCCTCAAAATTTGACTGAGCTCTTATTTCAGTTGCTGTAATCTCCCACTAATATAGAGTGGCGAATATTTAAGCACACACTTAAAGTCTTCTATAGAAATTAGTTGGGCTGAACATTGCTTAATTCGGGGTTGTTTTTTTTGTAAAGTTCTTGACCTCTAATAGAATCTTCTTCTTCTTTGGCATAGCCGAGTAAGATTGTCTTCCATAAACACGGTTTTAACAATGAGTCGTACTTGTGAAATAAATGAAAATCTCTACCTATTCTGCATTTTCCCATGCTATACAGCACACTCCACATTGTTCATTCAGAGGTCTCACTGAGTTTCATAAAACGTATTTTCCTAGGAAGAATCTTTAGGATTTCAGCCTCCTTAGGTCATTTTGGAGGGCCAGTTCCAAATATGTTGAGCATATTTCAAGAAAATGGAAAAAGTGAAAACGGATGAACTAGCAACAAAGGGAACACCCAGTTGAAGTTCAGAAGCAGTATATAGAGGTCATGCAGAAAATGCTAGAATACTTTCCATAAGTGGAAACTCTATAAATTACAACCCTAGGGTCAGATATTTATGTGCAAAATTGCTGGAGCTATTCATTAAAATTGTGTAAATGCTTAGATAATTAAGCTCTGACCATACGTTGTTATGCTTTCCTTCTGTTAAACAAAATGTGTTCCATTGGATTGCTGTAGAGGAAAGGCATATTTTGCCTGAGCTACTGCAGAAATATGTTTGTCCTTTAAATTCATCTACTCTTAAGGAACCTATATAAAGTAACATTCCTGTACCTATGGGAAAGCAGGTACAACTTCACTGAGTATATTTTGTGATTTTTTTCTTATATTAGGAGCAAAGAAGTAATGTTGGTATTCGTTTGGAGCATTCCCAATCACAAAATTCAGGATGTTTGAGTGGTAGGGGGTCTTGCTGTGCACATAAAATGGCATTTCCTCATTCTTTCAAACAAATTTCTCTATTCCTTGTTTCCTGGTAAATAGAAGAAAGCCTGTTGATAACCCAGAATGTGCATTTTTCATTAGAATTTGGTTTGGCTGTAGATCTCTGAGAGGAACTTATACATTACCATAGGCATACGCACGCCACTTTTCCATGAGTGGCTTCTACATGGCTGGGATAACGTTTAAATGACCCAACTGCACAAGTCGTAGCTGATCGCTATAGCTCTTTCCACTGAATCAGCCCCCTTCCATGGGTCCTGTTTAGTAATTGTGGCCAATGCAAATTGGCCCACATGGTTGGAACATTTAAATGTCACTAGCCTTTTAGGAAATGTTGCTCCTACATGTCCAGGGTAATGCTTAAAGGGACCCCTCCCCAATTGACTTTTAATCTCACAGTACATTGTAAAAAGAGGGGCGGGTTCCTCAATACAATGTCTCATTTCTTCTTCCTGTTCAAAAAAAAAATCTGTGGTCTAAGGATGGTTCCACAGAACATTTAAAATCAAAGTGAAAATAAGACAGTTGAGTGCCATGGTTCAATTTCCTGTTGCGTATGGTGTTACAGTCCCTATGATGATTAGAACAACAGACATTTTTCTTCCATGCAACCTTGCTCTTTTTCAAAGATGTTTTGTCTGATTCTTTCTTGGCCACTTGCCACTTTGTCTTAAATTTTCCATTTGTGTTTTCTTTTTTCCCTCCTTGAATTTCCAAATCCCTCTTCAGCGATCATGCTCTTGTTGTCATGCCTTGTTCTTCCTAGGCCCTTCCCATCAGGGAATTCCAGCTTCCTTTAGGGTGTGTCTGCACTGGCTGTTTCCCCTCTGGATATATTCCAGAAAAAGCTGGCAAAATCCAAACCACACCTTGGACAGAATCACTTATAAGGGTGGGAGGAACATTAGAACATAAGAAATGTCCCACTGGAACACACCAAAGGCCTATCCAGTTCAACAGCCTCTATCCCATAGTGGCTGACCAGATGCCAACTTCTGATCATAGCTGTCAACCATCCCTTATTTGGTGGGAAACGCCCTTATCCCAGCGCCGTGTCCTGCTGATGTCCCTTATTGCTGATGTCCCTTAAATTTCCCGGGTTTCAAAGGAAGCAGCTCCTCTCCCTCCCTCCCTGACGGCCAGAGAGGAGGGAGGCTCTAACTGTGTTGCTTGGCTGTGTTCCTCACCCAATAAGGAGTCTAAGAACGACTGGGGGGTGGAGCTTGCATGCCTTGTGCCGAGCAAACTGGCCGCGTTGCCTGGGGACTCGCCTTTGCTCAGCGCTTCCCAGCGGAGAGGTGACAGTGGTTTTCCTTGCTGCATCCCCTTTGCCGGGTTGCTGCACTGTGGGAACCACCGCTTAAGGCTTTGTTGGGCTGCTGGCTGGGCTTTCTGCCTTTGGCTCGGAGGGGCTCAGAAGTTGAACATTCCTGTGTCCGGAAAATCCCTTATTTTGGCTGCTGATCCCTTATTTTTGAGGCTGCTGGTCCCTTATTTTTGAGGCTGCTGGTCCCTTATTTTCAAATCTGTAAGTTGACAGCTATGCTTCTGATCCTAGCGATCATGTGTAGCCAGCATGATGTTACATAGCCATACATAGTTAAAGAGGTGTGCACTTCCCCCCTAAAAGTTCTGATAATGTCTGGACACAGTGTGCCACTTGAATGACCCTATTGGGGTGTGCATTCATGGGTAGGCAACCCTGCCTGCCATTGCAAACCAGCCGGTGGAATCCCTTGCTAGCAGATCTGCTTGAGAGAATCAGGTTCTGATTGTTGTTATAAGGTTTGAACTTCTGCAATGGAACCTTTCGTTGGTTCCATTTCCCCCGTCAATGGGGAAGTCGTTCTGTTTTTGAAAAGAGTGATTTGATTGCACAACTGTCATTGCTTCTGCACATTGACTTGTAAGCGCATAAAGCAGGAGGCTCAAGCTCGCCGTGTCAGCAACTCTACTCACAGTTGAGATTTCTAGCCTTCTTATGGGAAATGGCAGGCTGGAATATTTGCTTTAAAACCATCCCTATGCTGCCTCTTGGGTGTGTAGTTGGCAAGCAGGGCACCGTCTGTCACTTGTTTCGGACCATGTGATCAATCCTCAGCAGCAACTCTTTCTCCAGTCTGCTTACTGGTTCTGTAACATGGAAGTGCTTTGGTGATATAGACAGTGAGGCAGGCCTTTGTGCTAGGTATGCATGACAAAGGCACAAGTCATTCTGTGTTTCATAGGGTGGGTGATCTATACCAGGCTTCTTCAAACTTGGCCCTCCAGATGTTTTTGGCCTACAACTCCCATGATCCCTAGCTAGCAGGGCCAGTGGTCAGGGATGATGGGAATTGTAGTCTCAAAACATCTGGAGGGCTGAGTTTGAGGAAGCCTGATCTATACTGATAGCATCGCTTTCATTCTTTTGTACATGCACACACACGTTCTTATGGCGCTTTTAGTTACAGGTAAGTAGCCGTGTTGGTCTGCTGTAGTCAAAACAAAATAAAAAAATCCCTTCCAGTAGCACCTTAGAGACCAACTAAGTTTGTTATTGGTATGAGCTTCCCTGTGCATGTGCATGCACAGGGAAGCTCATACCAATAACAAACTTAGTTGGTCTCTAAGGTGCTACTGGAAGGAATTATTGCACTTTTGTTATTGTTTTGCACTTTAATCTTGAATATCCAAGGCGGGTGCTTTGTTTTTTTTAATGTGTTGTAGCTTTCACCGCCACCACAATCCCTTTCCTCAATGGATTCTTCCTTCAGCCGCCTTCTTTAAGAGAAAGATCTTGGCGCCTGCTGGGTGGCATTATTTTCAATGCAATAAAGATTTGAGAGAGAAAATGTGTTGTCAAATGCCACCCACCCACCAAACATGAATGGACTGAACTATGATTCCCCCACCCCACCCTGAGTTCTAAACAGGGATAACCAGTTTGGTGCCCTCCAGATGTTGGGTTACAACTCCCACCATCGTTGACATCTGGCCATGTTGGCTGGGCTGATGGAAGTTGTGACCTAACAACATCTGACGGCTGCCATGTTGTCTACCCATGTTCTAAGCCTTTGAGTTCAAGGCTGCCACATTCTGTTCTGCCTTTTGTTCTGTCATTTAAAGCAGACGTTCTGGGGTGGTGCAGTTTCTATTCTAGGTGGGATTAAGTAGTCTTAATCATTTGAGCGCCAGCTTCTTAACAAGAAAAAAGATCTATTTTGTAATAGGAAAGACATAAAATGTTTCTCATTACATCCTACTTGAGTGAACTTGTATAAGGATACCCCTGGGAGCCAATGGCATTGTTTCAAAGTAACCCTGCTGCAACAATAAGCCTTAAAAATAAACAGCCCAGCATTAGAACAAAGAAACAAGTCTTTAAGAGCTTTGCAGAATTAATATGTATTAATGAAATTGTCTCCCACTGCCTTGTGCCACATGGAGTTCCTGGTTGGCACTCTTGAACTGAGACAAGATAATTTGTTTTGAATGGATCACAACTGGTTTCTGAATCCTCCTATGAAAGCTATGTTAATTCTCTATAGATACTGTAATCATGCTGTCCAGCTTACCTTAACATTACCAGTATCATATTCCCAGAGAGTGTGCATGCATAGAGGAAGTGCAAGAGAAAATGGAAAGCTCTATAATGATTCTGTCAGGTATCATATTGCAACATCTGAAACAGATGATCAAGGTTGTCTGGTCCAAATCAAGTCAACCACCATGGACCTGAATTACTTGGGGTGGTATTCCACTACGTTTTCTTCAGGTGGACCCACTGAAATCAATGGAACAAACTTAGTCATGTTCATTAATTTCAATGCGTCTACTCTATGAAACTTACTTGAATGCCACCCTTGGCAACTTTTTAAAGAAAGAAAATGGGTGCAAAATTTAGTGCAGAAACCAAAGGGTAGTTGTCTTCTGGTTATGGGTGAATCTTGGTGATGTGATTCAGGCTGGTTTGATTAAAATATTGATTAAAACAACACAATAGAGCATCCCTCTACTCTGCTGTCTTGCACCATCTGAAAAGCTATTTTTCTTTTGTCTCACTTTTTAACAGGGGCATCTCCCATGTAGAAATGCTCAGAACTTTGGTAAACAAAATGTGGGAAATGTCTCTTAAGTGCAACCTCTCTGTTTGCAAGTATTGGAAACTTCCAATGGGTCTAGGAAGGAAGTGGATTTCACAGATGATTTCAGCCATAAAACTGGGGTGAAAGAGGCTTCTGGCAGGGTTGTGTGATATTTAGATCCCAGCAAGGGCTGATTCTACCAAGGGGGCAGGAAACTGTCTCCTTAACTGTCTTCAAATTGAAATGGGCACACAACCTTGTTTGCAGCCCTGGAGATAAGAGAAAGTTAGACAATGGGTCCTTCTCATAACTTTGCCTTGTTTCTGTGGTAAGCAGCTGGTTGATTCTGATAACAGAATTGCATTTTTTAAGCAGCAGATTTTTGTAGGAGAAAAACATACACTCGGTATAAACAGACCCTACAGCACTATTTTTAAAAGTTATCGTTGACAAAAATATGCCTTTGGCGCTTGCAGAAAGTTCCAGTTTAAAAATCTGCCCTATCTGCTTTGTCCACAGAAGCCAACACAACACATGCTCACAGTGTAACAGGATACGAAAAAAGAATGCCAAAGTAGCATTTGAGTTTTTTGTTTGCCGAGTGTAAAGGTTCTCTTCATTGCTTGGATGTTGGAATAAAATCAGACGCTGGCCCCGTTTCCAGACAAACCTGTCCAAAAGCAACAGAAACAATTTATATTTGACTTTATTTTGTCTTGTGTTTTCATCTTAACTACTGGAATCCCTTCAGCAGATTGTGAAGAGTGTCTGGAATGCAAGATGTTTGTCTGCTAAATTCAGATAATAGTTTTACTCATTTGTCATGGATCTTGAACATTAGCAACTCCTAAGCACCTAGCCTCTTCAAATGACTTCTTCTTAACAGGATACTTCGTTCCCAAATGTCCACAAATATCACACAAAGAGCTATAATCATTAATGGATTGGTTGCTGAAAGCTTGGAATTTTATGAATTTTGTAGTACAGTGGTACCTCGGGTTACAGACGCTTCAGGTTACAGGTGCTTCAGGTTACAGACTCCGCTAACCCAGAAATAGTACCTTGGGTTAAGAACTTTGCTTCAGGATGAGAACAGAAATCGTGCGGCAGCAGCAGGAGGCCCCATTAGCTAAAGTGGTACCTCAGGTTAAGAACAGTTTCAGGTTAAGAACGAATTAAGTTCTTAACCTGAGGTACCACTGTATTCAAGAATTCCATAGCAAATCTCCCTGTTCTATGTAAGTAATGTTTTAAGAATGTTACCTCTTTTGATCTATCCTGGTGAAACTTCTTTGGCAAGATCCTGATCATATTTTTATGCTGTGAACCACCCTGGGATTTATGGATGAAGGGTGGTATACAAATTTAATCTCCTCCTCCTCCTCATCATCATCCTGATTGCATAGGTAGGTGTGGCGTATTTCAACTCCATCTTGGGTTGCCAACTTCTTTACTAGCCCCACTCCTTTAAGAGCAGTTTGATCTGTGGACATTAGCCAGCAATTTCTCTTCTGTGCCCTGAAAAGCTTTCTGCAGATCAAGCTGCTGTTAACGGCACATAAAAAGAACAGGGGTCCAGTTCCCCTGATCAGCTGCAACCACATCTACATCAGGAAATGGCCATGGGGGGTTGTGAATAATTGTCCTGGCCCTAGCCAGCTTTATTGACAAGAAAAGCCCTTACCACAGCTTCCACAGTGTTCTGGATACACGTGTACATACAATTCTAGCTTCTAGGCACTGTGGAGTAGTTGCAGCATCAGTGGGATCCCGCCCCTCTGCCGTTTTATATACCCTCCACTGACGGGTTGCACACCCATAACCTGAGATTTCTCCTGCATGGTGATCACTGCTTCTCTTTTCTGCTTCCAGCCCTTCTTCGTTCTAGGAGACAGTGGTGTGGGGGAAGGTGGGGAGTCTACTGACTATCTGTCAACTGAACAGCCTCTTCTGTCACATTTGGCACACCTTCCTCCAATACAGACCGCTGTGACTCTCCCCCCTCCCCTGGCTCCTGCCTTGCAAGCAGTGTCAAACCCCAGAAACCACTGCTCCCCTCTCTTGCCTCACACTCTTTGGAGTCCTGCCAGTCCCTGACAGCAATCCTGTTGGTTTTTTTTACAATTCATTTCTCTACTGGCCTGTGTTCTGCAGCCCTCCTGGGTGCCCATGCATCCTGAAAACCCCATTACATTATCAGCTGACATTTTCTGTTAGCTCAGCAGACAGCATGGCACGGGGCTGTTTACCGTGTGCCTGACAGTTACCTGTTTTTTAATTTAAAAGTTAACTTTTAAAGAAATTAGTGCAGAAACATCTTTTGAAAAGGTTAAAAGTAAGGACTTCCCTTAAAAACAAAATCAGCACGCTCACTGATCGCAGGTGGTTAGTAGTCAGTCTTTCCAACTTCTCACAATTTAATCGAATCCCAGGGGAAGAAATCAGGAGGTAATTCTTTCCATGGGGCTTTTACAGATCAGGAGGTACAAGCAGCCTGGTGGGCTGCAGAGAACTAGATAAATGTTTAATGAAAAGAAAAAAACACACAGCCACTTTACAATGATACATTCCAGCCCACACCCACCACAATTGCAAAGCTATTCTCTTGTGCCCTGTCAGGAACCTTTTTTTAGGAGAAGAAACTTGGAGGAGAGGTTTCAGCACTAGTTTGGATGATATTACAAGCTACAGATAATGATGATGATGATGATGATGATGATGATGATGATAATAATAAAGTTAAAGCTTCTGAACTCCTCCATGTGGCTGCACCAGATGGGGAGTCATTTAAGTTTGTTCCCATCATGCTATACCATGACTTATTGTCACTTCCAAACAACTAATTGCCACATCAGCATCCTCTAATTATTATTAATTTAGCTGTCAATACAGTTCACAAGCCGAGGAGGCTACTAATGTATTCTAACACAAATTTGTTCAAATAATTCATATTTTCCCCAAGAGCCTAATATGCACATTCCTGGCACATTTATTGATTCATGCTGCAATTCTATGTGCACTTACTCAGTAGGAAGTCCCAGTGAAGTCAAGTGTTACTTACCTTGGCAAGCATAAGATTGGCATGTCTTGTCGATTTGGAAGTTATGTAGATTTACAACATCTTAATATTAATTCCTTTGCAACAAGAAAACCTTGGTGAAGCCAAAGTTGTTGCTTGTCAAGCCAACCCCATATTCTAGGAAGGATGCCTAGAATAGCTTGTAAAGGAACAGGTGGTCCCCAACACCAGATTAAAACATCTAAATATGTATTGCCAAAAACTGTTATAATCTGTCAGTCCCAAATCATGGGTCTCAGTCCATCCTTTCCACTACCAAACTGCCAACACTCATCAGAGTCAGCCAAAATTTGATGTTTTAATTGTGGTGGCATTTTAGGAGTATTTTTGTTGCATTTATCTCTGTCCAGTATTTATTTAATGATGAAAACTGAGTAATGTTGAGAGTATCTTTCCAATGAGCTGGCTGAATGTCTCCTGTAGAATATTGAGCTCAATCCACCTAAGGAAGGAGCTGGGTATCTCAATTTCACGGTTTGT